GCGAAGTTCGAAATTTAGCTAACATATTTGCATCTCCATTGTTGTTTCTGGTGCTCGATCTCTTAGCTTTGATGGTCTCATTTATAGACTTTGTGTTCTTTGTTCTGTGTATGTTTCGAAATTTGACATTTTGTGTACTGCATAAGCTTATTTTGGGTGGTTGTTTCTTTTCTATGCAGAAGAATTAAAGATCTAACGGAGTACATTGTTTAAAGAAAGCAAGAGCCTTTTTTGCTTATTGATGGGTGAGGAGTTAGCTGATACAATGAACCTGGATTTGAATCTAGGGCCTGGTCCTGAGTCAGATCTCCAACCGGCACTAAACGAGACTGTGAATTTGGCTGATTGGACTAATGAGCCGTCTGAGAGATCTTCGGAAGCTGTGACGAGGATCAGGACTCGGCATAGGACGCGATTCAGACAGCTTAATCTCCCGATCCCTGTTCTTTCTGAGACACATACCATGGCTATAGAACTTAACCAATTGATGGGAAGTTCTGTAAATGGAGCTGCTTTGCAGACTGGTGAGGGTAGTGAAAGAGGCAATGAGGATCTGAAAATGTGTGAGAACGGCGATGGAGCCACTGGGGATGGTGTATCAGAGAAGAAAGCTGATGTTGAGAAAAGCAGTGGCAGCGATGGTAACTTTTTCGACTGTAATATATGTTTGGATTTGTCGAAGGAGCCGGTTCTCACCTGTTGTGGCCATCTTTACTGTTGGCCTTGTCTATTCCAATGGTTACAAATCTCGGATGCAAAGGAATGTCCGGTTTGCAAAGGAGAGGTGACCCCTAAAACCGTGACACCTATCTATGGGCGCGGAAACCATAAAAGAGAAATCGAAGAGAGTTTAGATACTAAGATCCCCATGAGACCCCACGCAAGACGCATCGAGAGTTTGAGGAATACAATTCAAAGGTCGCCTTTTACAATACCGATGGAAGAAATGATTAGACGTATACAGAGTAGGTTTGACAGGGATTCAACCCCGGTCCCTGATTTTAGTAACCGCGAGGCATCAGAAAGAGTGAACGATCGAGCCAATACGATTCTTAACCGGTTGATGACTTCAAGGGGAGTTAGAT